CCGAACACAGATCATAAAAGCTCTACTTGATGAGCTCAGCTAGTACTAACTCTTAGTTTCCCCAAATGTTTGACAAAGATATTTCTCTTCAACTAGAGGGGCACCCAGTATGGGACGCTTCAAGTTCGTCTTCTGACACGTTGATGTTGGCATCAATCTAAAAACATATGGAATCATTTACGAAAGCATTTTTAACAAGACATGTGGTTTCAATGTTTGTTTTTTAAAATCATCAGCCTTATAATCACATAAATCTATGTTTTTAAAACAAGCCCACCTTCCCCATAAATCAGTTCATCTGTCTTGTGTTCCAGACCTAAATAAAACCTTAAAGCTGATCAGGCTATGGTGTGTCCTCAAGTTGAGGTTTTATCAAACCTAAATCATTTATTAAATTGGAAAAGATATTTGGATTTTAAACATTATTAGTGAAGCTTTGTAATAAAATATTCATAAATTACGAGCAGCAGGGATTTCTGGTTTATATAATGAGTTGAAATTACTGTCACCATCAACCTTTCTGGAATACATCAAACTCCTGTGTAAATTGCACAAGAACTTGCTTCATGGCGTTCTCCTTGGCTCTCCGACTGAGCATCGTAATCTTGTGTTATAGTCACCGTTTCTTCTCCAATCTCCCAACAAGGTGACATTAATGATGTAGTAAAAAAAGTCTGAATCCACATCCAGGCCGCAAAAAAATGTCTTTCCGTATGGTCCAAAAAGTTTTAATTCCACTTTAAGCAATGTTTTTGTTTCCTTTAACGTTCATGTTTCAGCGGATAATCAAGGCTGGTTATTCTCTGGTGCTGACGTTTCATACTTCACGTGGATATTACCATTCGGTTATTCAGTGAAATTAAGTGTGCCAAAAATGGGCAGGATTTCTTTGAATGGAAATACTGCTCATAAAATGAAGACTAGTCAAATTATTCCAAGCTATATACCCTAAGTATCTTCAAAGGAGAACACCAGTTACATAATACCATGAAAAAAGATATTTAAGATAGTTTGTTTTGTCAAAGGCCAGTATGGTTTCTGAGGAACCAGGAAATGCCCGTGTTTCTGTTGATGTGGAAGAATTTGATGGCACTACTGTGAATCTGGCATTATAAAGTATACATTAACCTCAACATATCCGTGGGGACTCCGGGTAAGAGCATAGGTCCCCAACAGCCAATGCTGGTCATAACTGGTGACCAAATGGATCGTGTAGTCTGTTTCGGTGACCAAATGGATCGTGTAGTCTGGTTCGGTGACAAAATGGATCGTGTAGTCTGGTTCGGTGACAAAATGGATCGTGTAGTCTGGTTCGGTGACTTGGTTGATTGCATGTCATCATATCCCAACTGGCTGGACTGATGTACAGATTGATGTACATAATGTCAAACACTGGATTGTCTGGACCAGATTTGATAACGTAATTAGCGCCCAGGGCGCTCTCAAAATTAGAAATAGGGGGCTCTTATTAGAATATTATTTTGGTTAAAAAGAAAACAGAGTTGAAAGATAAATGTTGTGGTTTATGCTGACAGCCTGAAATGTTTATGAACGACAGATATGTTTTTCCAGAATTTAATTGCCCATAATTAAGGGTGCATATAACACACGAATGCGTATTATACGCGAAAATATAAGTCTTGTGTACATTGATCAATCAGTAGGGGTGCCAATTGGGATTGTTCACTAACCTCATATATTAGCATATATCGCCGTGGGCGCTTATTAGAGCGGGGCGCTTATTACATCGAATATGGTATTTACAGGCTGTACGTAGTCCTACAGTTGAACACTGCTGAGTGTGGTGTTAAACAACAAACACATGAACAAGCCTAGTACCTCCATACTATGTCCATTCATTTCTCTAATGATATTTATGACAACTATAAACAGTAGTAAGAAAACGGCTTCAAAAACTTTTTGAAGAAATAACTTTTTATAACTACCTACCCATCAATATATATCTATAATACTCAAAACAAGTTACGGACCACCAATTCTTTCATATTACCATAAATAATCTGTCATGCAATCGGGGGTCCCAAACTTTTTTTAGTAGTATATTACCCAGATCAGAATTGTTTCGTGTGCTTCTGGGAATGTGTGAAATATTATGAAATTTATATTACTTCAGCACCATATAGAACATTACACACCATAACAAATGTGTTATCATTTTTTTTAGTTATGATATAATAAACACTACTGACCTACGTTTTTCTCAGATAATTAGCATGGAACCAAAAACGTAGGTGCACAAATGCTAAGTGGCCCCTCCCTGAACGTAACATACGATGTGTACAAGATGAGAGAAATGAACGTGTGTGGAGCAGATGAAATGGGCAAGTGTTCTAGCCAGCCTCTACTGCTGGCACTGCAAAAGCCATCAGCTTCCATGTAAGTGCCTCACCTGTGTCTGACACTCATATCAGTGTCAGGAGACGTGACCATACATACTTCTTACACTAATTAGGCAGGGTGTTAAATCAAACCAACTTCTACGAATGTCTAATATCGGCAGAGATTAACTGGAGCATGTAGTCTTATATGACCTGTAAGTACATCCAGACCTCTCATTTCCATACAAACCACCCATTTCTGTCTATGGAAATAGGATAACTTACAAAATAGGATTCTGTATTCTGGGTCAATTTAGCTATATAAAACATGCACAAGTAAAACCTATTGTTGAAAATTGCAACCTAATATTTATGTCTGCATGCATCAAGTGCATGTCAAATTATTTCATTTGTGTCTGACTAACCTACTTAGCCTGTTCAGACAAAATCAAGTCATTGAACACACTAATAACTCTAAATAATATCTACCACTATACATCACTAATCCCTGTGTTACATGTGATTTATCATGATTTCTTGAGAGTGACATTATCCACGGACGTATATACACGTCTTTGCATTATCAAACTACGGGTACTTCAAGATATTGTGCACATTTTCCTGTTACGTTTGACAGCAATGCATCATCAATATTTTTTACCCTGGCAGCAGACTGGCCTATGTTTCAACCTTGATGAATTGATTGAACCAGGTGCAACCTGGTTTTGTTTGGTGCAACTTGGTTCAAGTTAAATCAAGTTCTTTAATCTAGCTGTAGTATTGAAATTCCAACTTGGGCCAGATGTAAGGATGATCTACCAATGATGCATGACCCTGGTGCTAGTACTTAAGCATTGCACGACCTTCAGCATTATGCAAAGGTCGCCTGGTCATGACCACGGTCCATCAAACTTGACCTTCCTGTCTTTGACATGAGTGTCCCCCTTCCTGTTGCATTCATTGAGTACAGTCAGATCTAAGGATGGTTAGATCTCACAGGATGTGTGTGGAAGGAAGTTGATGTCAATGAAACAGGACTGGATGTTCATGTGTTCCAAAGCAACTTGGGGTGGTCGGGTAGCCTAGTGGTTAAAGCTTTCGCTCGTCACGCCGAAGACCCGGGTTCGATTCCCGACATGGGTACAATGTGTGAAGCCCATTTCTGGTGTCCCCCGCCGTGATAATGCTGGAATATTGCTAAAAGCGGCGTAAAACCATACTCACTCACTCACTCACTCCAAAGCAACTTGGGTTGTAAAGATTAACCAAACTAAAATTCGAAATAGCCAATTCTGTTAGAATCTGAAGATGTTAATGTCTTGTTGACTGGTATACAAAGTGTTAAAACAATGGCTACAGAAATATTTTCTTGAATCAAAATATTTGCCATTTCATGGACAATAAATGAACAATCTCTACTGTTTGCATGTATTATCGCTATCAATATATGTGTTCATTAAAGCTCAAGTTTTTATGAAAGCAGAGACCATATAATATTATGGTCTCTGATGAAAGTGAATGGATAAAGTAGGCTCATAGTAGTTAAAAAGTCATGAGTGAAAGCTATTGAAATAGCGCTTTTGTGTTTAGTACTAGTGCAGTCCTATTGCCAAAGAAAAGCATTCATGCTGTTCCACATGCTATTGAGTGAGTGAGTTTTCCCTGCTTTAGCAATATTTCAACAATACCATGACAGAAGATACAAGAAAGGGCCTTACAGATTGTGCCCATGAGGATATGGAAAACGGATCTTCAGCATAAAGTGCAAATGCATAACCATTAGTCAACTACTACCTAGAGAAAACATTCAAGTTTGTTCCAGGCTCCGTCAAACATGGTCAAAACTGTGACCCAAACTGACTTGACCTAACAGGGATTTATTTAGGAGCTTAAACTAAGTGTCCCTGCAGGCAACATAGGAATAGATTGTTATTTTGGTCAAAGCTGAGAGTTCTTGTTTCAGAGGCATTTTACCATTGTATTGTAACATTGCATTTAATGCAATAATGTAAAAATAATGTTCAAGGCTCTTCATCTTTGTTGATCCTGTTATCAGTAAAATACAAGTGACCATATTAGTTATTATATAACTATGCTACTCAATGTTGGATAGGAATACTGAGCTGTTTCATACTGTTACAAAACTAACAGCTTAAGGGAATGTCATGCTGAAAATGAGTCCGTTCTGCAGCCATATTGAATGCCATTTGTATGACAACATTTCCCAGCAATCATTCATGGTCATTCATTTCCTGCCTGGACACACAATATTCGTATCAAAGGTTGAGTGGTATATATTGACATGAATGAGCAGGTCCAGATAAATCCCTGCCGACATCAAACACTACCACCTGTGAAGATCTGGGTTAGAATAGGTCTTCATCAACCCATGCTTGTCGCAAAAGGCGACTATGCTTGTTGCAAGCGGCGACTAACAGGATCGGGTGGTCAGGCTCGCTGACTTGGATGATGCATGTCATTGTAACTCAATTGCGTAGATCGATGCTCATGATATCAATCACTGGATTGTCAGGTCCAGGCTTGATTAGTTACAGACTGCCATCATATAGTTACACAACAAACAAACACTGCCAACTAAAGTGGCATAAAATCTCAATAACAACATGTCATGAACATAGAAATGAAGAATAGAGTACTCACCCTTTTGTACATGGTAACTTCATCTGTTTAACTTTTTGTTTTAAAATTTTCTTTAAATATCTTTTATCTTTTAATGTTTTTGGATTAAACATATCCTTTTTACTGAACTTTTTATCCTCATATCCGTAATTTCCAGGGTCTTCGACTTGAAGTTCCCACAGACCCTGATTCCTCTCACGATATCTGTGTTTTTGTGCTTCATATTCATCTGCTGTCATTGCTATGTCTCCCATGAAGCCAGCTGAAACACAAGTGATTGACATTTATACACACATATAGACAACTCTCGGACAATATGGACTACAGGCTGGGGCAGCGAGGTAGCCCAGTGGTTAAAGTGTTTGTTCATCCTAAAGGGTTTGATTCCCCACATGGATACAATGTATGAACACAATTTCGGGTGCACCCGCCATGGCCATGATATTGCTTAAGTATTGGTAAAACAGGCATAAAAACCAGCTCACAGACTCACTCACAGATTGCTCAGATGGTGAAAATGTCTTTCTGTGATGTTGAACTGCAGGGCTAGTGGCCCTATTTCTACTAGTACCTTGAACATGTTACTAGTCATGGGCTAGTTTGCATCACATTATTCAGAGTGAGTGAGTGAGTAGGAGTGACTGAGTGAGTGAGTTGTGTTTAATGCCGCTTTTAACAGTTATATCGCGGCATGTCAGCTTAATGTGGGAGGAAAGCCCAAAGTGATGCAGGTCTCAGACTTCGGTGAAACCAACGAGCATGGGCATGGTGCTGACAAACCCAGAAGCATAATCGGGGCAAACCAGGATTTGAACCCACAATCATAGGTTTCTGGCATGCCCAAGGGACGCAACTCTGCACAGCCCCTGAGTGAGTAGGACTTTACACCAATTCTAGAAATATTCCAATCTGATCACAACAGAGGTACACACACTGTTCTCATGTGGGGAATTGAACCATGTCTTCTATGTGGCAAGCCACCACCGGAACCACTTACTTACAGACCACTTGATTCAGGAGGAATGTATGCATTGCATCTTCAAAAGTTACAGAACCTGACTTATGCTTCTATTAGCAACATTTCACTACACAAACATTTAGTCCCAGAACTATTGTTGGCTTATTTAAAAATCTATATCTATAAAATAAGCATACAATACAAATGGAGCCCCAAACAAGGCTTAGTCTTGAGCTGAGGCAATTTGGACTTGATATTCATTCTAGACTTGAGTTGGATTCATTTATAATTTATTCTCTAGGTTCTGGGAGACCGACTACTCTTCGGCAGTCATGGATCAGTGCACCATATGGGAATAGAACCCAGATCTTTGCATAACAAGCAAACACACCAACTACTGACCACCACTATGAACAAAAAGGATTGTGTAAGCAGGCTTTGAGTGGAAGTCAGCAACATAAACACTACATCATGGAAGTAAGCGGTGCAGTCGGGGTAGCTAGTCGTTAAAGTATTCGCTCATCATGCTAAAGCCTCAGGTTTGATGCCTCATATTGGTACAATGTGTGAAGACCATTTCTTGTGTCCCCTCCATGATGTTGCTGGAATATTGCTAACAATGCCAATATTGTGTTATGACACAATCAGCTAAGTCAGCTTTTTGATGGCAAACCATCCAAGTGTTCAACATACGCATCAGTCATTGTTACCAACCAATCCACTATTTAACCTTACATTAAGTGTGAGGCACATCTTTTCTACCATGGACTTTCCAACAGGAGTGAGAAAGTGAGTATGTCTTTATATCACTTTTGACAATATTCCAGCAATATCAAGGTGGGCATACCATAAATGGGCTTCACACAGTGTACCAATGTGGGGAATTGAACCCTTCGGCGTGACAAGCAAATACTTTAACCACTAGGCTAACCATCTCTGCCTCCCAAAGGAAAACATAGACGCAAGACTAAATGTGACTATGTGCATGAAGAAAAAAAGCCAATGTAATAAAGAAGATTAAATTTGAAACAGCAGCTGACTTGAGTAACAAAACATACAAAAAATAATCACCACAGAATAAATACCACCATTCTCACTAAAATAACCAGTCATATTAGCTTCTAATCAGCAGGTGTTTGTGAAATGAGGAAGTCACATTAATACTAAATACCGCAACATATGTGGAAATGTCAATCTGGGGCACGGAGATGATGACCATTAACAAAAATCAACAAAGACTTAATGGATAACAGTCGCTGACATTTGTTGTGACACACTCAAGGGGAAAATGGCCACAGCTGGAGGCAATTTTTTTTGCAAAATGACAAAAAATTATCCATGGATCAGTAGATACATGCTATCACTTATCAAGCAAATTACTTCCATTTTCATTTCAATTGGCAGGAAGAGGGTGCAGAGTCGTTTCACCTTGACCTTAAAGGTCTCTCTGCACTGGAAATATACATGCAATTATAATCATATCTGGGATATATATATATATCATATACCACATCCGTAGAGACATACAAAAATTGCAAATAAGCATAAAACTTGCTGATATGAAAGTGTCACCATAGATATATATGTGCATTAATGATCATATCATATGTTCGTTTGAAAAGAAATAGCTCAAAGTCATAGAAGTAGTTTTTTTAAATATTGAAGATATTTTATGTTCTAGTAGTTCTGATTTTGATAATTAAATTTAGATGGGAGTGTTGATTAAGTTGACACCTGTGATGTTGAATTTAATGTTTGTGGTAATTATATTACATCCTGATCAAAGACCAGATCTTTATCTCATCATATACTGCTGCGCAAAAGAAGCATTCACTTGAAAATTAGATTGGACCAAAAATTACAAAAGATATCAAAACGTTACTGAGGCTGCCCAAATACTGCAAACTTAAGGTCCAAAACACCACTATGATGCTTGTGTCAAATACTTCCCCATCAAATAACCATTTCTTGTTTGTTTCATTTGAGCCATCATCAAACATGGGTGTATACTTTCTTTTGACCAGCAGTTATTGAAATATCTAAAATTCTAACACTACATGTGAACTGGTTGGTGCAATGGGCAATGAATTTACATGTTGTGCATCAATTCAAAGCCCCTTCCCCCATTACACACTCATGGATAAATCATGGCAAGTCATCATCTGAACCAAAACAGAAATAAGTCTTTTACAAAACTTACCTTCCATTAACAAATTAAAACAAAAAAATAAACTTTCTGTTTGCACGAACTGTGTTCTTGACCTAGGTTATAAAGTGGGAGCTAAATAGCACCTAGCTCCCTTAAAACAAACCAGGGATTAAGAAAGGATTCCAAACTAAGTGCCTATGCAGACAACTTGGGGGAAAAAACTTATTTTAAAAAATTGGATTTTCTTAAAAGTTTTATTTTAATTCAGGAGTATGTTAATATTTCATTCAATTTAAAAATGTAAAACTAACGTTAAAGTCTCTCCTTGTTTATTGGCCCTGTTGTCAGTGAAATGCAAGTCACCACTGCACTATGATAACAGTTTTTACTAAAATAACATGACTTGGCAAATTTTTAATTTTGCTTCATACTTGGGGCCGAATATGGGCCTCTGAGCCTGTCCAGATGCACATTCACATATTGTTGCTTGTACATGCCTTCCCTCCTCCAACTTAATGACCTCTCTGCATGTGGGAAATATACTCACCACCAAAAGAAACTCAAATAACATACATGTTGGATAATATATGAAGTCACTCTTATTTAAGAGATGTCAGTTTGGTCTCGATGCACAAATGAATATACTGGTGAACCAATGCTCATGAATGCATCACACGTGATGTCATAGATGCATGACTCGTAATGCACCATTTGTCTCTAGCAGGATTAGCATGTAGAGTTTGAAAATCAGGCGCAGCATATCGTTATAAGAATAAAGACACTCTGTGGTAACACTTGACTGAAGGTCTTTTTTGTCATTAATTGGTACACATTGGAAACATCTCATCTTTACCTACATATTTCTGCAGTTCATGTTTCTTTTGGTGGTGAGTATACTTGCCATGGAAAAAGTGTATCTACAGCTGTGAGTGAGTGAGTGAGTGAGTCAGTGAGTTGGATTTAATGCCGCTTTTAACAGTATTCCAGTTACATCACGGCATGTCAGCTTAATGTGGGAGGAAAGCCCCAAGTGATGCAGGTCTCAGACGTTTACCACTTCAGTGAAACCCACGAGCACAGGTATGGTGCTGACAAACTTAGAAACATAATCGGGGCGAACCAGGATTCGGACCCAAGTTTCTGGCGTGCCCAAGGGACGTAACTCTGCACAGCGAATCGCGGCGCCTTAGACGACTGGGCCACCCGTGCCCCCCAGCTGAGAGTGAAGAACAAGTGAGGGAGCGAGGGCGTTGGATGTAATATGCTTTGAACAGCATTTCAGTGATCAAGTATAATTTATCTATTTCCAGCAGACTACTTTGGGAGGAGGTGGTGGTGGTCATAAGAAATCTTCTGCTTTATGTTTGTATTGTTTGTTGCATGCCGCACACTGGCATTGGAGTGACTAACATTAGATTCCCACGCCATGAGGGTACAATAAACCACCCAGCCAGACCCACAGTCACCCATATGACCAATATATATTACTCAAAACAAGCTAAACCACCCAGCCAGACCCACAGTCACCCATATGACCAATCTATACTACTCAAAACAAGCTAAACCACCCAGCCAGACCCACGGTCAACCATATGACCAATATATACTACTCAAAACAAGCTAAACCACCCAGCCAGACCCACGGTCACCCATATGACCAATATATACTACTCAAAACAAGCTAAACCACCCAGCCAGACCCACAGTCACCCATATGACCAATACATACTACTCAAAACAAGCTAAACCACCCAGCCAGACCCACAGTCACCCTTATGACCAATATATACTACTCAAAACAAGCTAAACCACCCAGCCAGACCCACAGTCACCCATATGACCAATACATACTACTCAAAACAAGCTAAACCACCCAGCCAGACCCACAGTCACCCATATGACCAATCTATACTACTCAAACCAAGCTAAACCACCCAGCGAAACCCACAGTCACCCATATGACCAATATATACTACTCAAAACAAGCTAAACCACCCAGCCAGATCCACAGTCACCCATATGACCAATATATACTACTCAAAACAAGCTAAGGAGCACCCACAATTGGAAGGCTGTGTGTTAATTTCAAAACCTACCAGCCATGACATATTAACTACAGTTGAATGAAAATAAATTGGGTGTTCGTTAAGTATTT